GTCTGTCTGTCTGTCTGTCTGTCTGTCTGTCTCTCTGTCTCTCTGTCTCTCTCTGTCTGTCTTTCTCTCTTTCTCTTTCTCTGTCTCTGTCTCTGTCTCTCTCTCTGTCTCTCTCTCTGTCTCTCTCTCTCTCTCTCTCTCTCTCTGTCTCTCTCTCTCTCTCTCTCTGTCTCATACACATATACACAGGCAGATACACAGACATATACACAGACAGATACACATACATATACGCATACACATGCACATACACATTCACATTCACATACAACAAACAGACATATACCTACACATACACATACTCGTACTCATACACACACGCATGTACACACACGCGAGCGCACAAACACATAGAGATAGATAGGTAGACAGATAGATAGATAACTCTACGCTTGTATGCACAAATGGATTCATATATTATGGTAACATAATACCTAAGCATGTTCTTCATTTTCTCATTCTGTATTAATTTATGAGAATCAATGGTGTAATGCTTATAAAACTCACCAGAAGGCAGACATTAATTATTCTTTATATAAGTTTGGAATGTGTGCATTCCGATTTTATGCGGGGTGAAAATTTTAATCAGCAACCAATATAATTCTTCTGTTCAAGAGAAAAAGATCGCTAAGGAGGACGCACCACATTCCTGAAAGTTTATTCCGAGGGCTGACAGTAAAGACATTTTGTGATTCCCTGGAATAAAATTACTGGCAGCTTAATCTTCTCAGCATAGATAACTGTATCTCTGTGTACAATGCAAGTCAAATTTGTCTGGTACGCCCAATAAAAACCGGCCAATTAGGCAAACCCGCGCCAAGAGTTGGGATATAAGAAGACTCACTTGCATGCGATGCGTACATGTCCTTTCCCCAGGCAGACTACTTCGAATATTATAGAAAATAGGAATGGATCTGTCTGTCTGTCTGTCTATCTGTCTGTCTGTCTATCTGTCTGTCTGTCTGTCTGTCTGTTTGGCTGGCTGGCTGGCTGTCAGTCTGTCTGTCTGTAAATATGTTTGTCTGTCTGTCTGCCTGTCTGTCTGTCTGTCTGTCTGTCTGTCTGTCTGTCTGTCTG